TATAGGGAAGGTCTATGCCGCAGCAATGCGGTTATTAATAAGTTAATGATGATAATACAATGATACTCGTATAACTCATCATAATAGAGTTCAAACATGACCGCATAACATTCTTATATACTAATTGTTTTTAGGGTTAATGTATGTATATAACAATTTTTTTCTTTAATTATAGAAATATTTTCAAATTGATTTCTTTTGTTCAAAGGCTGTCTTAGTTTATTACAAAATAAAAACTTAAGAATGTAATGTTCATATTTTTTCACAGACGAAAAAAGCACAGAAGGTTCTCAGGTCAAGGTACATTTTTTGTTTATTTATCCTGTAATAACTCCGCCTGTAATTAGTCCGGTTTTAACAATTATTTTTATTCAGTAAGGCAATAAAAATGTTGTAATAGGATCATCAGTTTTGTTTTTATATCAAAATATAACTTGAAATTTATATAATCGAAATATACTTCCACACATTTTGTGCTTCAAAAAAGTCAAAATTACTTAAAACTTATATAAATTATTATACTATGTTCTCGATTTCGATAAAAAAATCTAATTTTACGATTTTGAAGTCGGTTATAAATAACTTTTGTAGACAAAAAAAGTGAGGTTTTTTTTGTCTACAAAAGTTATTTTACTACTTTAAGATATTTTAAAACACGCTTTTATGGGGTTATCCCTTAAAATATAGTTTTCCCTAATATTACTTTATTTATATGATTATCTGTATTTCAGATAATCATATTATTCGTGCAGTTGTTCATAATAATTAACATGTATTGTTATATTATTAGGGGTTTAAGAATGAAATTGGCGTTCTTTTGAAATAGATTCCTTGAATTGACATAGAATCTTCATGGTTTGAGGTTTTCGAAAGACTCTTTTTTCAAAAGATTTCTATGATGTTCTTCTTTTAAAAAATGTGAAACAATTGAATATCGACTTTCAATTATTTTTGTTATTAACTTAGACAAGAAAATAAATACAGCGAAAATTTAAGTAATATTATCAATATTGCGTTTGGAGAGGGGTCTGTTAATGAACGCACCGTGCGATTTTGGTTTAAACGCTTTCATGATGGAAACTGACTTGAAGAACGGGCCACAAAGAAGACCGCCAATACAGATGAATAGCGATGAATCAATAGAGATCGTGGAAGCCGATCCTAGTCAAACTACTTAGGAATTAGCGGCATGGCTTAACGTTACCTTACCCACAATATTGACTCATTTGCCTCAAATCAAAAAAATACGAAAAATGGGTTCCTCATGAACTGACTGATATGCAAAAAGAAACGCGTGTTGAAACTTGTGTTGCCTTGTTGAATCGGTACAGAAATGAAGGAATATTGGATCGAATTGTGACATGTGATGAAAAGTGGATTGTCTATGATAACCGTAAAAGAAAAATGCAGTGGCTGACCCCAGGTCAAACGCTACAACAATGTCCTAAAGCAAAATTATAATGGTAACTGTTTGGTGGTCTCAGCATGGTGTTATTCACTATAGTTTTATATTGTGCCGAACTCAGTTGGCAAAACTAGCAGTAAAACAGCCCCGACTCATTAATTGATCTTCACCGATATTGCTTCATGACAACGCGAGACAATTAACAAATTACAGAAAATAAACAATTTTGATCTACAGTACAAATTTCATACTAGAATTCAGTTTTTTTTTTTAATTACTGTCTTTCTACTTTTGGTGCTAACTATTATTATTCATCAATCTCGCAACATTTATTAATGGTATAATTTTAGTATGACGTAAAGATACATATAAACTATTTACAGTTTAATAAGCAAATAATTAATAATCTGTACCAATAGTTATAACTGAATTATACCATTACAACAAAAATTACTAAAGCGGTTTATTTTAGTAATTGTTAAAAAATAATTATATCTTTTAAGCCGACTCCGTAATTTTTTCCTTATAAACATAATATAAATGAAGTAAATATTGAAAATAATACCAAGGTATTTTAACTCTGAACGAGTGTGCACGAAGTGATCTTATTACTGCGGGGTCGTTTTTTTTTGGCTGCTCTATCGAAGAGATTTGAAGGATCAAGGCTAAATCACAAAGGCATAAGGCAGTGCAGGTAGTTAAAAGATCAGGTGTTCTTTATCTCGACCCTTACAACATATTGTACAGGTGTAAGCTTTGCTATGGAATTTAGTTTTGGTACATATAGCATCCGATCAGTTATCATAAAATTACAAATTATTGTAATCTATTTTTGAATGTTACTCTCAAGGTTTTAAGGTTGAAAATTGAATAAAAGGACAATTTTAAATAATTTGACTAGCAGTTGAGTGTACCTTTTTTATTGTTCGTTTATTATGAGTTTTACTGACGTTTTTTATTCGTGGTTATTTTTAAGATTTTATAATCTCTACCGAGTTATTTATTTTTGGTTCTGAAGAACCCCTGCCCCTGCGTTGGCTATCAAAATAAATCGTTCAAATTTAAATTAATCTGTTAAACTTTTAAGTTAAAAAAAAGGATTCCATGTCAGTAATCAACCAGTGAATCCTAAAGTGGATTGTTTCTTAATACGTTTCTAGTAAAAAAATTGTTCTGATATTAATTATATTGTCATTGATTTGTAATCATGTGATATGTGGTTCTGAATACCTAGGACTGGTGAAGTTTTGAGCATTTTTCACTAAAGATAAAAAGTCCTGCCATAAAGAAGGGATTTGTTTAAAAATCTCTAAACAGATTTCAGGCATACACATTCATAAGAAATACCAAAATTTGCTTATATTTAAATTAAAAAAAAGGAAACATATATTTTTAGCAAAATAGCTTCGAGGTCCTTACATCACATTAAAAAAAAAAAGTATATTATTCTTAAATGATGACGTGAACAATTGAAAATGTTATAGTATTTTTGAAATAATACAACCATTAGTAGAGTCAAATAACAAAAGTAATAAGTTAAAGCAAGTATAATAACCATAAAAAGGCAACATAACAATGGTATTCTAAGCGAAACACAGCGATAAGAAGATAAGCACATTTAACTACACTACTAATTTTTAAAAGCCTTATTATGTTTGGTAACTATTCCTTATAACTTATTTGTTCTGGTCGACTTAAGATAAGTTAAATGAGGTTTATGTTGGGCTAGAACCAAAAGTTCGGATAAAAATTCATTATGATATTTAAAGAACTACATCATGGTAAAATCATGGATTACACGTGTACTATAATAACCAGCTGTCTTAACTGACTTCAAAAGAGGAAAAAGTTAATAAGACAATTATTTGCAATAAATAAATTTATAAATACTAGACAACATCATATACATTGCTCAGATTTCAAACTAAGTCGCCAAAGTTGCGTTGTTTCGAAACAACGCTATTGCACCCAGATCCTAGACAATATGAAAAAATTCATTTTCTACCACCTTAAAACCGGCGTGCGAGTACTCGGCCACAGTGGAATTATTATTAGGAGTTAATTGAGAATAAAAACCCTTCGACGTTACAAAGGAAATAATTAAAACACAGCTAATTGAACCCAGTGGATATTATTTAAGGCTGTGAATACAAAAATACATATAAAACTTCTTCTTTTAATATTATATGAAAGCGGAAGTCGCTTCTTTATATTATTTTATACCATGTATAGATAACCCTTCCAATCCATTACAATTATTTCAAAAGTTCTCCGTCAGCTACAAATTATTAGACAAATATATTAACCATTAATACTTATTTGGACGATATTTCTTTGTATAAAACCAAACGAAAGTTTGAAACATGTGCGGAAGGAACAATGCTCAATTTATTTTCGGTTCTTCGCAAATCTCATCGCCTGTTAAATATCAAAGAAAATATTTGGCCGAGCATTAACTGAACATTACTAAAATAATGTTTCTTGGATACGTTTAATTTATGAATTCAAGTCATTTTCGATCTGTTTAAATCCGTTTTGCTATTTTGTGTTCGAAACGATATCCTAAATCTAGTTAATGTATCATTAAAGAATATTTCTTTTGGGAATTCTATATTTTACTATATTATAACATTTTCAAACCTTCCAACTGACTTTGTAAGGATCTGTAGGTTCCTAACCGATCCGAACAAACATTCCATCAATCAATAGCACCCTTTGAAAATATATAAAAAATAATTTTGCATCTATAAAAATATATAAATTTATAAAAATACCCACCCTTTGACATTGCACCGTAGCACTATTGAAAAACTCATTGGTCATAATTATGTTCAATAATTCATTTCTAAATATTTTATTAACACTTCTATATTTAGAAGTTATATGTATAAACAGGGCTATAATATATAAATTACGTGTGTAGTTGTATGTAACATATTACGAAAAAAGAACTGTTTAACTGCTCTGGAGATTTTTAAACAAAACATCCAATTTTGCACTAAACGCAAACAAATAAAAACAATAACCAACGCACTTATTTGAATTCTCAATCACAATAAACACAACATAAATTTTATATACAACATTTCTGATTATCAGAAACAATAAAATGATGCCGAAGGCGACACTTTATGTCGTTATATAAATTAAATATTAAAAACAATAATATGGCACAAAGACCCTAATAAAAATTATTAATAATTATTTACTTTTGACTTTGTTGAAAAAAGATCTCTAAATAAAAAAAAATAAAACCTGAACTATTCAAAATATTTATAAGGAATATAAGAAACGCTAAAATGAATATGTTTAAGGGAACATACGTAAAGAGATGCTTAGAAACCTATGACATGTATGAATAATATGCGGAAGGTAATTATTATGTTCACTCTTTATCAGCTAGTGCATACTGCAGGCAAATAGACATAGGCCGAGGCCACCCCTCTACCCCCCGACCTCCACTATCAATAGAGAAAATCACCTTCGAGCCCTCCCGGAGTTACGTTATCTGCGCCTGCGCACCCCTCCCACCCGCTTCGTTCGTAACTATAAAAGCCACAGCTTGCCGATTCCCTACACATTCACCCTTGTGTTGCAGCCGGAGTAACATACCAGAGTATTCTCACACATCACAATGGCCGCTAAATACGTTGTCTTCGTCGCCTTCCTGGCTCTCGTAAGTCTTTATTGTATTTTAAATAATCCAAAACTTTAAGCTAGTAGAAACGTTGGTGTAGTCTTTTGTACTTCGAGCTTACATCTTAAAGTAAGATTTCATTTATAATTAATTACAGGCACATGGCTTCGTGAAACGCGACGCACCTTCTACAACCCCATTCCAAGACTTGGAGAAACACGCCGCTGAGTTCCAGAAGACGTTCACTGAGCAAATCAACTCATTGGCCAATTCAAAGAACACACAAGACTTCAACAAAGCCCTCCAGTCCGGTTCCAACGCAGTTCTACAGCAGTTGTCTTCTCTGTCCTCCAGCTTACAAAGCGCGGTTAGTACTCTCTTTACTTTGTAATAAAAAAGGTGTACATTAGTTAATATATCCTTAAATCCTTTAACTTAAGTTGTATAAGGTAATGCGAAACCAGTGTATGTTTATCTTTCTTTATACTGTTTTTTTCAAGTTCATCAATTAGTTATTCCTTGAAAATGTTATCAATGTTGTGAATATTTCTTATCATCATTCGCAAAAATAATGTTGCTAATGTGAAAACGACAGTTACATCATTGTTACTGATTGGAGCATCTTGTGCGACCTTTATGTGCGATAGGTTTTAATAATAATATAAAGATCTGAATAAATTGAATAGTCATTAATTGTGATGAATGAAATCTAAGTATAATCACTAATAAATTGTTTAATTGCATTGTATAAGCTCCGAAACTGTTGGACCGATTTTAAAAGTTCTTTAACTTACGGAAAGCTACATCATACGCGGCTGAAATGAGCTATAATGAACGCGATACTGTTTTACCGCGTTCATTAAGTTATTTGTAATATGCTTCCTTATTATTATAAACTTCAACTGTCAAACACTTGAATAAATATTCATTATTTAATCGTGTAAATAAATAACAAAATATAATGTTTGCAGCTGGTAGATGCTAATGGCAAGGCAAAGGAAGCTTTAGAGAACTCGCGTAAAAACATTGAGAAGGCCGCTGAGGATCTGCGCAAGGCTCACCCTGAGGTAGAGCAACAGGCCAACGCTCTCAAGGAAAAGCTCCAGGGCGCCGTCCAGAACGCTTTGCAGGTTAGCACAACACACATTATATAGTTGTCGCACTTCATTCTAATATACAAATCTTAACTTGTACATACTTTTTAGAAAGCTATATTATAGTTTCTGTGATAAAGGCAACTTATCGTTACTTTTAATATCGAAAAAAAATATATACGAAAACTGATGCTTAAATCTTTAAACAAAAATACTTGAGAATTCACCAATTCCAGGTACCCCCGAGATGGTTAAGTTATAAATATAGCATTGTGAATGTCAAAATGATGATTAATATAATTATTATAATTATCACCAAAAATATGTAAGTTGTTTACAACTATCTTTATTTATAGGAGACCCAGAAACTGGCTAAGGAAATAGCAACCAACGTTGATCAGACCAACCAGAAGCTTGCCCCCAAGATCAAGGACGCATACGATGACTTCGTGAAGCAAACCCAGGAAGTAGGCAAGAAACTCCATGAAGCTGCCAACAAGCAGTAAACAAACCCCGCCCACCCGCTGTACCACCACATTTGTATTGAAATAAACAACGTTAGACTTTCTATATACGGTTTTGTTATTTTTATAGCTTTGAAGCATCATTGAACAATATTAAGATCTGATGTGTAATTATTTTTGTAGAGTATCCTTACGTAAAGAGATCAATGTCATAATTACCAAAATGTATTCAGGACTTTTTATTTAAAAAAAATGGTATAAATGTAAACTTATTTTATAGTAATAACATTATTTTTTCGAACATTAATAACCCCATACTATAATTTGTAGTTTGCCGAAGTTAACAAACTATACTTATACAAAAGATATGAATATTTAGTCTAATGTTGCTGGAATATTTTACTAAAATGATAGTAATAGTGTCTGAAACATTAGGTGCTCAAAAAAAGGAAAGAGATTGCAAGTTAAATTGGATATATTTTAGATGATGACTGGGCTGAATCCAGCCAGTATTAAAAAATTAGCTGGTTTTTTTTTAAATAATGTCTAAGTTAGGCAAATAGACACTTAGAAACTCATTTCATGCAGAAAAAATGCCGATAAGATATAAATACGAGGCGAAGATGAATGCTTACTAACATTATTCTCGACCCTGGACTAGAAAACAATCTGGTTACAAATTTTCTTAGCATATTATCATGGTAAATTAATAAGATAGTTAAGGCGATGCAAATAGCGAATTTCCTGATATTATTACCCATTCACGAATTTGTAGAGTAATATCACATCGTATAACTTTCAACGACTACTACGCTACTAAGTTATATCAAAGGTGTTCAAGGCGCTTTTTTGTAGAGCAATATATGGGACATCTGGGGACAAAACTACGCTCAATCGGCTCTATACCTGAAGATCCTAATTAAGTCATAAGCAGAAATTCGAACAAAAAGTTTTGTGGCAAAACGGAAAGGTTTCATAAATATGATACGATTGTAATTCTTCAATTTAATAAAAACCCATAAAACAATACGTCTACAAATCAGAACTAATTAAAAATTCGGTTAGTCAATGAAACAGTCATTGTAAGTATTGTCTATATTCCGCTTAAAATCGTAATCGTAGATTTGCCTTGATAATCAGAAATTTAACATCATCTAAAACAAAGCTCACCTCATTTGAACATAGACTAGATTTGATACGTCTGAAACTTATTATTATATTATTTCACATTATCAGACATATTATATAGAATTTGGTGGTATAACCATGTTACTATCTTAATAATACTCTGAAGTACATAATAAGAACGCTGCTTGGTGAGGAGGTACACTGTGATGAGTGTAGAAATGAGTAACGTGAGTCCTCTGTGCAGAATATACAGTCTGAAGCAAAAAAAAAGTTATCTTTTAACTTTTGATTTAAATGTTCTCACGTTGTCTGAATATTATGAAATATGGTTTTCAGGTATATAGGTACTTTCCTATTTATATATTTCGTGCGTTTGATGAATAAACATTTTTTTCAAAGCATTGACTTATTAATACAGTACACAATTTGGAATTATAGCAGATCTGACCTTCTCAAACGCTTCTTTGCCGCAGGAATGGTGTCATCCTTCTCTAAAAGCACATGTCTTCTCGTCCCCCTTACAAATTCTGTTAGTGCTCCCTGCCACCTATGATAGGTTATGACAGTATATATAATGACAGGTTATGAATTAAAGTCGTAATCATATGATATGTCATTACAATTTCTTTGGGTTTGTTTATAGGAAAAATTTATAGCCATATATATATTTATAGGAAAAACTAATCCATGGATGGATTAGCGCCGCGGCCCGCGATCGTAGTCGTTAAGCAACTTTCGCAAGGGTCGGTCACGGGATGGGTGACCAAAAAATTATTATCTCGAGCTACTCCGTGCTTAGGAAGGCACGATAAGCCGTTGGTCCCGGCTGCATTTGCAGTCGTTAACACCCTCCAATCCGCATTGGGCCAGCGTGGATGGTCATGGCCCATCCTCCTTAACCATCCATAAAGAAGGCCTGAGCCCCTGCAGTGGGGACGTAAAAAGGGCTGATGATGATGATGATGATGATAGGAAAAATATTGAGTTTCAATTGGTAGTCTAGTAAATAGGTCAGCGTTGAATCATATTTAAGCATCTGAATCATAATAATAATAAATTAAAACCATTATTAAGCAATATAATTGGACTAATATAATAATTTGGTGTATTTTAAATAATGACATATTTTTTTTATATTACATATCCGATTAGGTATACTGTTGTGACCGATTACGCGATACATCTGCAAGTTATGTATGTACACAGCATGGCAATAAATATTATACTTATATATTCATATTCTTAATAATTTCTTTGTATTTGTGGCGCTTCTATGAGAATTTCCTTATAATTTGAAAAGCTAGCCCTCTAGCTATCTCGAAATTATATTATCATTAATCAATAATATATAAGAAATTTTAAAATAAAATTAAATAGAAGCGATGTATATCTATCGCTTAATTGGCTTTGGACGTTTTAGATGCTTTGACCATTCATTGATCACGGGTTCTAAAATTGTTCCCCACACTTGCCCAATAAATATGTGACTACTGGAAACTAAGATGGTCCTTGGCAACTCACTCGATAGTGTTAGGGTCCAAGTTGTATGTGTTGGCGTCACGCGTGGAGAGGCGCGCACGGAGCCGACGGACGTTGTCGGTGGGGAAGCGAAACTCGCGCGTAGCGAAGTACTCCAGCGCATCGTTCATCGACGACAACCGCGTACTCAGCCGACACATATTCATACTATATTACAATTAAATAACATTCTGATCTATTAGTTTTTATCGTTTTATAAGCTTACATCCTACTTGTGTAAAATTATAATGTACCGCGTGGCTTCGCACGTGTAGTCTTTCAGACTATATGAAACAATGTTAAAAGAGAAAAAGCTCTTACGATATGGTTGCCGGATTTTAGGTATAAATTAAATTATATAATTATACAAAAACCTTTGTCCAAAAGACTTTCTTTAAAAAATGGAAAAACAATAAAGACAAGCAAATTTACAAAAATCAAAATCCCGTTTTAAAATACAGCTGTAGCGTTACCAGGACCTTAAATTACTTGTATCCCAATTTACTTCGCTATAAGTTCTTAGTACACCTCTACGTAATAAGACGAATGTACCCTCTATCCTAGCGGTTTAGACTGTATATACATACTATATACATTACTGACTAGTTAGGCAGGATATCTCTTATAATAATTATTATGTATAGTTATAGATTACCCGTGATTTTTTATTGTGTAAGTAATATCATACCTGTTGTTTTTATTAGAAAAAAGTGTTCTTATAAATTCTGCAAGATGTAGCGGCAACGTTTGAAGCAGAAACTCCAGAGTTTTATACGTTAATCTACAAAAAATAATCTTTTTATCATTTAATCAGAAAGTATTGAAATATACAAAACCGCACTACGAGATATAGTTTTTATTTATATAAATAATTACAGTGCTATCTATTAGACGCTATTTTAATGTATTTCTGCCAATCTACATGCGAAAACAAGCGTAGCAGTGTTTCATAATGTGCGAAAGGCATATCACTCTCGTTGGAAAGGTCACGGTCAATTTCAGTTGTGTTAATTTATGGGTTTTACAAGGAAAGTTTCCAAAACCTAATTGAAAAGAGAAGCTATTTTTCAAAACAGATCGGATAACGATATTCGTCAATAATAATAATAAACAAGTATAATATTTAACCTGGAGCTGGCGAATGTGAAACATGGGTACCAAACAGCATGTGCAGAAGGCGACTCACGCGCAGTGTCAACAATACACCGTCGTACTGTTTCCCAGTCTGTTGGATTTTCAGAAGTACTGCAATTGTACACGCGAACAGTAGACAAACTGTGAACAATCAATCAAGATCAAAAATAAACATCATTATTTACTTTCCAGATGCCAAGTACTAACATCTGAAATATTGAAAGTACCTCAATCATTTAGCTCCAAGACAAATCGAAATGTATATTTTCTACACTTTTCTACTTCCTTGAGAGTTCCTAATACGAAACAGACTCCTGTAGTTATTTTCATTGCATTTATTAATTTTGTCACTTTCACTTTGCTTGCAATAGTTACTCAGGTGTTAATCAGGTTTCATTTTGATTATTTAATGTACCTGAATGCCTTTTAATTTGGTATTAATAAAGCGGTAGGGTGGGGCTTAAATCTAGATTTAACCCGGAAAGCGCCAAAATAATTCAGACTCATCGATGGCAGTCTCCCAAGCAGCGGCGATGAGTGTGTCAATAGCGATGTCGACGGGCAGCATGTCCGCGCGTGCGACTCCCTCGCACCGCATCACGCGCAGCACACCGCGATATACCCCCGCCGCCACGCCACTGGGACCATTATAATTCTCCATCCACCCGGGGAATGGGTGCCGCAGGGACGCTATGACTAATTACAAATTCTTCATTAGAACACGACATGATATCAAGAAATATTGACTTGAAGATACTTTTTAAAGGACAAAATAATTTAACTATTGATACTCGCAGCCTAATTCGCTGGTTAGTTAACAATATAAATTCTACTAAATAGGTAACACCCTTTAACAAGCAGATGATGGTTGACTGGCGGACGCTTAAACCATTGATACAGTACCTATACATATTTATTAACATTAATGCTTATTTATTTTAATAATCTTAATTTACATTAATGATCTTCCTCACTTTAGGAAGATTTTATACGCGACAGCTCCACATTAGTATTTTTTTTTTCATTGCACTTTCGTTTGTTGGAATCATTTAGTGCATATGAAAAAAAATTGGACGATTCAAGAGTGCTAGTTTAAATAAAGAATTTTCGAGTATAATTGTCCACAATTGATTTCGGAAAGGGTCCAATGGCTAAATCGACTTAAACAACTCATATATCACTCCTCTTTTTGACTTTATATGAACATACTTCGTTCTTTTTCGCTATCTATATTGATAATATGCCAATGGCATGTTACCCACCTATTGTTGGTCTGAAGATAGCTAAAGGGTAACCTTTGTAGCCGTGTTGGATCATAACGTTCTCCGCAAGCATCTTCGTGAACGTATATGTGTTTGGTTTTGGAGAGATTAGTCTGCGGATGAAAATTAAAAAGCATTTCTTTTAACATCAAGCTCTTTATAATTGTTAAATTTAATAATCACCATGAGACGTTCGCGATCAGGGTGAGTATGTTTTTCTCACCTCCTGGTGTCTTGAAGAGTTATGTGTCGGAGACGTTGTGCTTCTTCTATAATCCGATGCAGTGACCGTGGAGGTGGATAAACGCGCTCCTCCACCAGGTCACGCTCCGAGTTACAGTATGCCGTCGACACGTGCACAAATACCTGTAACATATAAGCTAAACCATGAAAAAACAGAAAATTTAAAGGATTCGAATGGACGGAGTTAAGTCGTTGTAACAATCGAGCTAATGATTATGCGATAGAAAAGCCAATCAGAGAAATTGCATGTCCGGCATTTCTTCCATATGGGTATTTTTATGCATTCAGGGTTAGATAGTGGTCAGAACTTGTGGTCGTTATCATAGTGGTCATAACATCCCAAACTCTCCAACTACAAGAGACGTTGGTCAAGTACAATTGGCCCTACCTGTTAAAATCCTTCGTAGCACTCTCTCTCATAGTCTGGGACCCGGTAACTGGCGAGGAGTCCCATAATGATCCGAGCCCGAACCCGAACCATGTTGTTACGGCATCAATTCACGTTACAGATTAAGCCAACTTAATCGTAATACATACCCTAATATTGGGCAGGTGGTCGCATATGTCCAGCAGCCTCATTACTGACAGCACATTAGTCCCCACTGCCGACGAAAGATCTTCATCAAACTTCACTGTTGCCGCTGTATTAAACACTACAGACACCTGAAATATTATCTTTCTCTAATAAATAAAATCTAACATGATAACGAAGCATTGATTATAAATAAATCATTGACAAAATATAACAGCCGATTGAATTTTAGTAGTTCAACAGTAACATCATTACTTTCTCTAAATCAGTTTTAAAGCGGTCGGATAGACCGAGGTGTGGTTTGGTGATGTCTCCGGATACAATGCGCAGCTTATCCAGTTGCTCAGGATTGTTACGCCGAAGGACGTCAAACACCTGAAATAGTAGGTACCGTTACGATAGATTCGTACTTTTGGAGGAACATTTAGTCTACCTCGAAGTGAAATATTTACAATTCACTTAGGTTTATTGCTGTGCTATATGAGATATTGAGACAAGGTCTTACTATACTATACCTTTGACTCCTTTAACTCCCTAAGTCTACTGTCTGGAGAAACGTCCTTCTTAGTTCGCATCAAAAGGTGAAGGTAGCCTATGTTAGGACACGTAGCCAACAGCCGCTCGACCAGAACCTGAAGCAAAGTAACTGTCACGAATTGGAACATTGGACAATGTCCATGGAAGCTTGGCCAATTGCCCAACCACAAAATACTTGTATTTGTAGATGTAAATGATGGTCAGATCGTCACAAAGGAAATGTAAAGTACAAAAAGCTATCCGAAATTATACATAAAGAATTTCTTAAATTTCTTGACTCATTCGGTCTTAATATTTTTTCAAAATAAATTATTAAGTAAATGTGAAAACTAATGACTGGGTAAGATCTTGCTTCTTACCAATACCAAAGAAATCCAACAAAAAGACTTGTAATGAATATAGATAGGCTATATTTTGAAAGCTTTTTTTTTTAATTGTAAACACTGGAATGTAGAAAAAAATTGTTAGCCGTATTAATAACATCATAATAATATAAATATTAGCTCTGGTATGGTAACGGTCTGGGAACTAGAGAAGTTTTACTGGCAATCCAAGAACTATACAGAATTGTTTGGAATATAAGAAAAATGTTATATGTTTAATTATATTTCATCAATTTTACATTCACAATGCTATACTGAAAAACATTCCTTATAAAAAGTGCTTAAAAATCCACTCTCCACTTTGTCCCTGGCACTCTGAAATATAATTCGATTCGAACCCACGACCTTTCGCAATCCGGGACACTGCTCTGATCACTCAGCTATCCAGGACCTAACATGACTGTTGAATTTTTAGGCACGCGTTAATTTTTATTCTACAACAGAGCATATTTCCATTAATATTCAGATAATCCACCCAAGGCCAAAAGAAATATTATTGCAAATATTTAAATTTGTAAAAAAAAATGCATATTCCTCTACTGGAATCAAACTTCGTACATCAAAGTTGCTCGACAATCTACCAAAGCTCTCAGAATACTCGAGGGAGTGTGACCAGGATGTATATTAATTCCAAGTTTGTTCATCATAGGAGCTCATTGACAATTTTAAAATGTATCACAAACCCTCTCGGAATGCATATTTTCTCAAGATTGAAATGTTAATAAATTTAAATTATAAGTAAATTGAAGTAAAACTAAATTTATGGTGTCAATAGATCTCAAATGTCACCGGGACTCCGAAAATACTGGTCATTGATAATAAACCTTATTGATAAAAGATAAGAAAAATATAGATACTTGGGTTGTTAAACGAGGACGCAGAACAGAAAGCAAGAGTCAGAATAGAAATTGCTCGTGTCTCTTTTCGTGCCCGCTGACATTCATTTAGATATGGTATACGAAGAAAAGAAGACTGCGTTTAAACAGGCAATGTTCACCTTTCCCATGAAGCCAGTTGCGCCTGTGATGAATACCTCTCTTCCAGCATAGAATTGAGGTATCACCGGGCGATCTTGGCTCTCACGCACCACCATGATCTGCACGCGATTAAAATTATCGTATGAAATATTGGGGTATTTAAATACAACGGTATCAATTACCGGTATTAATGGATATGTTAAAGATCAATATTACTATACTTTATTCAATCTAGGTTGTTACACGTACTAATAAAAACTAAACAGTTATAACTAAGAAGCTCGTGCCTCGTGTTGAGATGACCCGGCAAGAATCTCAGTCATCTTCCAGTTTTATATCACACAGAGAAATTCTATGAAACAATAATTGTTTCGAATAGTTTCCATTACAATATGAAAAATTATAAAAATAGATATGTAATGCACTCTACGATAATAGGGGAGATTTTAATTAACTCAACCTAGACGTCATTTCTTTATACATAACCATTAGAAGTTAATGAGTTTTGTTTTACGCCTCCTTATTGTAATTGTTTTATTTTTTGCCTTTTGTTTTGTAATTTTTAGATAGGGTTGTTCGCAGAATGACCTGTATATAAATGTTATAATTATTTATAACCTTGAAATTAGCATAGACTTGTTGAAAATTGTAAAATTTGTATGCCATGCCAGATATCCACTCCAGGGGCCTTCCTTTTGGATGGTCAAGAAGACCTTTCTTATGGACGTTTAAACCTTTCTTATAGATGGTCAAGGAGGATGGGCTGTTACCCTCTACACTGGTTCGATGCGGATTGATGTGTACTTAATTAATTTACTACTTACTATTACTACCGTCCGCTAACCGCGTCGGTGTTCTTTCAGAGCCAGTCTTCTTCTGCACACGTTTAGTCTTTGTTATCTTGGGTCGTACTAGAGCATTATGGTGTTTTTCGATTTTTATTTCTCACAAATTGCAAAATATATACACATTTTAACGACATTTCAGGTCATCGGGCCATTTAAAAACTGAGCTGAACGCTCAATAATATCTATTAATCAATTAAATATATATATGTCTAAATCACTCCAATAGAATTACAAATAGCGATTGGACAGTCAATCTAATACAAACCTGAATTCTTTAATAATGCTTATCAAACTCACTTGTGATCGTTGTAACCACAAATACCCGTAAGAACAATAGATATTTTCTGTAAACATTTTTGTTTGTCCGAATCATAACATTGTCAATAACTATTCTTGATCGCTTTATTCAATAAAGAGGGAAAAGATACAATGTTGATGATTGCCGTCCAACAATGTCTGAACGGTGATAGATATCAGATCAAAGCGTCAATTTGACCAGACAACAAAAAAAGTAATATAAATTATTAAAATAAGCATTATTGGTACTCTAAAATCACGAGTTTTCACATTAACATTGTAGTCATTCCAGAGTGGTAAGAATAACCCCAAAATTGGCTGAGTGTTCTGATATTTCTATCATGCTTATTAGCATAAATACAAGGTTTAGCATAAATTAAAGTAATTTGTTTTTACCGACTTCAAAATCGAGAAGTAGAAAGTTTTAAGTTCGATGGTGATATATAAAACATATATTTTTAAGTATGTTCGGCGATTATTGTTCCGCCAATGAGGAAGTATTTAAAAAAAATAAAGAAAGTACAAAAATTTATGTCACTAGATGGCAGCACAAATAGTTGGATCTAAACGTCAATTCATGACGTTAAACCAAAGAGAATAGAATTGTCAGTGATGTTATGGATCTGATAACTCGGATTAATATCGAGTTGAAATTAAATTAGTTTGAGTTATGCAAACGCAGATCGATTAATACGAATTAATCTTTGAATTTATTTTTCTTTTTTATTTGTATAGAGGAAAATGAAAACTAATATAATGGAAGTGAGCACAAAGGTTTTTTTTAATTTATGGAAATCAATTGAATGAATGCTGTGATATAATTAAAAGTGGCATTTAGCTATGGTATACAATAATATTATCGCCAAATAATTTTTATAAATAAAATACTTATGCCATAATAGGTCTAGGAATTTTTCATTTTAATATTTAACAAAAGTTCTGAAAACAATAACAACTAGTAAGTTAGTTTTATTGCTATTAGTTATTTGTTGAACTTACAAAAACAAAACTACATCAAATCCCAATAATATTTTTATATTATGTATGGTGAATAAATGAATAGGGTTTATTAATAAGCAACAAAAGTCATAAAAAGGATAATTATAATAAAAAATCCGTTTATTATCTATATACTTACCCGATATGTATCAAAACGTGACTTCTGGCTAAAATGACGTTTATGCAAAGTGGAGCGTGCAAATAACTTGTGTTTTCGAAATTGAGACTTAAAAAAAACTATGATCAGTTATTAAATCTTATATTGATAATTAAATCATCTTAATAAACATTCAGCAATCAACAAGAAACGTCTGTTCTTAACGAATAGCAGGGTTATAACTTTAAATTTCAAAATCACAAAGACACGTACAGTTATTATACTATTGCTACTGATCTTGCATGTCGACAGCGGACGTCGACCCATGTTTTAAGTTCATTCGTACAGCACATACCCAATGTCCTTTTTGGTTCTTACAATAATATTGTTAATAATAATTCGGTTTGTGGATGCATAATGACACACAAATAAATACAAGCTGAATTCTGCGCTCCGATTTTTGTTCTTCATTCCAAACCTGAATTCGGATGCAAGTTACGAGCAACCAATAAGTTGACTCATCACTAATGTTGACGTATCAACCAAACATCGCTCCTTTACACATAACATAATAAACAACTTAAACTTACGATTAAAATTAATTTGAAAGTTAGATATTATAAGAAACACAAAACGATTATTAATATTCGATACTCAATTTACTTTTTTAACGTCAGAACCAAAATTTGAATGAATATCATAAACAAAATCCAAAACTCACGAGTGACATCTAGTATGATTTCAAGAACTAGTTTTTATTTTTTAAATACTTCCTCATTGTTGACTGATTTGCAAAATTCTATTTTTTTTTTGTTGAAATAGACAGATGTGGTCCCATTTAAATTTTATCGAAATCGAATCAGTAGTTTTCTTTTAATAATATAAGTCTCATCTGCGCGATGGTAAAAGGTCTTTTTCAGGGCCGCTAGTCGCTTGGGGGCTGGGAATAGCTGGCATTTTAAAACCGGCAGGAACCGATTTTAGGTGCCAGAGCTTTTTCATCGGCGATGAAGTGAAAAAATTACGTCTTAGACAGCGCAGTAGATTAGAGGGCAGAGAAGATAGTCATATGTTCTGATGCACTCGAGCCTCGTCTTCTGTAAGAGTGACCTTTTGCCTGATCAGGAGCCTGGTGTGGAGCAGTCCCTTCCCTCAAAAGTGAGGGTGCATCGGAGGTTTCGTAGGTATGCCTATGCCTTTAGATTAGCCTTCGGGCAGCTATGTGAATGTAGAGTTTCAAGCATCCCCCTAGCGCCTGTCAAAGTTAAATAGATAGTGTATAATGCACTCCTACGGCACAATAAAGGTGTGTCATAAAGCACTAGCAGTTCCTCATCAATATTGAATAAACTGCCTAGAAAACATAGCATAACATAGCTGATGTCTGTCCAGGGTTAGAAAATAATCCACTTGATCCAGAATGCTGGCGATCTTGAAGATGAAGATCTGTCAAATTTCTGGACAGAGAAAAAAAACTATTTTCTTTCACTTTTTCAAGAAAATTGTTTTTTTCTATCATTATGAAGTATACTATTATGAAGTACTGAAATCACGAACAAATTATACAGGTATAATTTGTTGCTCATCGCACGCCGCACGCTAAATGACCACAGCGATAGCGGCACGCCGTAATATCAACCAATTACATATCGCACACCTAGATCTAAACTGAGATAACTCAAAAATGTGATTGCTTTTTGACTTAGTACAATATTCAAATTCTCTGTGATCATATGCATCTATCCAACATAACAGATTCAATAAAGGTTCGGGGATGAGCCGCTAGATAACTTTAGCTTTCTTTTGTTGAATCAACAGTGGTCGCGCTCCTGCCACGTAAACAAATGTATTATCAAACCTCCAAATTAGTTTTTTGAGTTGTCTTAGTTTAGATCTAGGTGTGCGATATGTATATATAATACATTTTTCCAAATCTGAAAGAAAGATTTTCTATTTTCAACGAGTATGTTTTTTTTATGTAAGTAGGTTCATCGATTTATTCTTGAATTGTGAACAAATTTCTATCAAGCCAGCTGTATCTCCGCGAGTTCGCCTGCGTAAAGCCTATCCCTTATCTCTAATCTAATCTTATCTCTAATTATGCACATTTTCGATCCCCTAGGCATACTGGCACCTGAAGTCATTAGTGGTCGAATCATGTTCCAGAATGTCTGGCGGATGAAGCTAAATTGGGTCGCGGTGCTTCCTCAAACAGAGGTAGCGGCATGAAATGACTGGTTTACGGATTTAATTGTCACTTCTCAACTCAGATTTCAACACCGCTACAACTCACTTGAGGAAAAACCTCGAACGATAGAGCAGCACGTGTTCGCAGATGCAAGCGAGCAGGCTTATTCTGCAGTTTTATATTTTCGTTTCATTTACCAAAACGAACACATCCAGCTCGCGCTAGTATGTAGTAAGTCCCGCGCCTTTGAAACCTAGCAGTATTCCTCGACTTGAGCTACAAGCAGCTTTAGTAGCAGCTCGCTTAGCTAAATCCGTAGTAGATGCTACTATATTCACAATTGTTCAGCGCGTATTTTGGTGCGATTCAATGCACGTTTTAAGTTGGCTTCGTAATAACGCACGCTCATATAAACCATTTGTAGCTCATCGGGTTGGTGAGATCATTGAACTTACAGACGTTAGCGAATGGCGATGGGTCCCCACTCATTTAAATGTTGTTGACGATGCAACGCGTCTTAAACGAGGCCGCTTAATTCGAGAGTGTCGTTGGCTCAATGGTCCACAGTTTTTACTCACTTCGGACTGGCCAACTGAGCCAGTTATGTTATCTATCACATTAGAACTTAAACCAGTTCGAAGAATTCATGATCAAAATCATTTCATTCTAGATAATAACAATGTCATATCACTCTGTCCAGAAGTAGAAAGATTTAGTTCATGGTCACGTTTGCTTCGTTCTACAGCATTTGCTCATCGTTATCTTTCAACTCTACGAATAAAAGTTTTGAGAAAAAAAGGTCTCCATGTAGATCATTCTCGTGTACTAACATGCCTCACATTTGGTAATGCAAAATTTATGCATTTCGTTTTATTTGAATTAAGTTTCAAATTATTATTATCAAACCACTGTAGAACTTTGTCTGGAGCATTATTTATATCGTCAAAACAATCATTGCCCCTCTTAACTTTAAACACTAAAGAGGTTTCATCAGCAAATTATATTGTCTCGCACGAATTCTTAGTAAAATGAGGAACAACATTAATGTAAATTAGAAAAAGCAATGGTCCTAATACCGATCCCTGAGGAACGTCCATAATAATGGGTGAAAGTGAAATACATTTTTGTAGTTTCTTTATTTTTTTTAAATACTTCCTTTACCCATACTTAGCCAGTTCCGAAGCTCAATTTTAGATTAAAACACTATCACAGAATATACTCGTTATCGCAGTGTATGGTGCCGGAGTTGAGTATTATTTTAGTATGCGAGGTGTTATCTAGCTGTTGTTGGTCGAAGTCATATTGTTAAAATTTTTCATTAAAGACATGACTGAGCTCTATTTTCATTTATGATATCATAGAATAATATCTATAAACAGATAATGGCTGTATGGGCAAAGCTTCCTTCGTTTTCCTATCTACGAAAAAATCTACTAAATTCTCAAAAAAAATAATCTCTGAAAAAAAAAAAGGCGGGAACTTCCGAAAGTTTAGGCGCCTGTTTGAAAAAACTATATATTTTAATATAAAAATAAAGTGCTAGCTTATATTTGCATAAGTTTGATAAAAACATAGTATAAATAACTAATTTAATAATAAATGGGGAGGAACAAGGTGGGGAAAAAACGGAAAAAAAATGAACCTGATAAAGAGGACATGGAGGACCCCTTGCCTGACTCAGCTTCTTCGGAGTCCGATGAAGAAGGGGAGGAGAGCTCTCGTGTCCCATATTATGTGACAGATTACACCCGGCTATACCAAGAAGACTCAAAG